GTAGTAGGTCAGTTGAAGTAGAAGGTAAACGTACGTTCGTACCGTGCAAAGGGTTAAAGCTGTTATCCAACCAACTTATCTATTATGGTCTAGAGACCATACCTCACGCACGTCATATTATTTAAATGTAGTCTAGAAACGAAATAGTCGTGACAATAATGTCATTTATACCTCTAAAACAGTTTCACTAACCCCCTCTTTATTGTCTTAAGCAAAAACTGAATCCGGAACATCTAGTTCAACAAGGTATACACAGTTAAGGTTGGAACAACAAACATGTCACTATTCTTTGTACTATATTACAAGGAACGCAAGGCTGAGGCAAGCTGTTATCTCTTCATTTCACAAATATATTTCTAGGAATAAAAATCAAGTACATAATATATATTTTTACAATAAAATAAGAGACTACAGATATTAGAAACCCTAGTTTTTACACTTCAAGAATTGTTTGAATGAACGAAGTCATCTTTTACTAATATCACGTTTGATTGCGTTAGTTAGGATGAACAGACATGACACGCTGTCAGTTTACATACTCACTTTATAGCAGCTTTACCCATCGATGTTCATACAAATTTTCATAGTCAATATAATAGAAAAAATATCGTATGTAAAATTTGCTCATTTAATAAAGATACAAATATTTTCAACACAATGTTCTATAAATTTGATCGCATTCTTACTTACGATCCTTAAGTCCGTTGTTCAAAGCGATTCTATTCATGCTGTCCTTTCTCTTCTGTTCTTATTCTCTCATAATGACAAAGACTACCATTTTTTTATGCTTTCAATCGACTAATGTCACCTCTATTTCATAAATAATCTGAAGAAGAAGGTCATATATACAAAACTGATTATTATAGAAAAACTGTTCTAGAGGTATGAATGATTTCATTTCTTCAATTATGAAACTTAAGCAGCTAATTTTAATGTCAATCTTGAAGTGTCCAGGTTGGAATATCTTTACTAGATAGAGAAAGCTTGACAAATTTTAGTTATATTTTTTAATAAGTATTATATTTGTTTATAATTTAACAGAATCCTGCTTAATTATTACAAAAAGACACACCTATAGGATTGATAGTTCTGTCCTAAAATAGACAAAAATAGTAACTTTCAACATTCCACACTTTTCAAACAAATTCGAAACCGAGAAAACGATGATTTAATTGAACGAGAATCTTCATCTAAATTAAATTTATTTGTTCGTTACTCCATATCAGGTTGTCATAATTTGTCCATATCAAATTGTCACAAAGTTTTTCTTTACCATTTCTCATTTTATCATTACGCCACAATACTTTTCAAAACAGATTATTTTCCTACTGTTTCAATTGCATTCAATAATTACTTTAACAAAATAATAGTTTCAGAAACATATTACTTATAAGATTTAATGTGTACCTTTAAAAGATATATTTTTTCTAAGAGTCAAGTGATCATGAGGTTCCAAAACATGCTTTTCAGTATACAAGAATTTCCGCGAAATTTTCCTCGATTACACTACTTTGTTCTATGTCGGAAAGTGTAAAAAGTGATTAATTTGGCGTGTAACAACCCTACTAGAACTGACATTGATCAAAGTTAGCAATTTGCGAATAAGATTCAAAGTTGGAAGTATAATTATATTTTTGCAAGCTTTTAACAGTTTCAACCTTAAGTCTTTAATAACTAATCTTATTAATTTTCGGAAATGTAATTATTCCTTTAAATTTTGAACATTTATTCACTTTAGAAGTATTAATCAAATTATCACAGTGCATAGTTAAAATAATTAATTAATAGTTAATAAATAGTTTTTAAAATGGATTACAACTGGGAAGAAGAAAATTACGAATTTCATTTTTCTCTATTGTTAATTATTTTTGCAATTTAATCAATCTATTGTATTTACCTCATAAAGTAACACAGTCAATAATAAAAATCAACCTTTATCGTTTAGGCCTGCAGAAAACTCGGATGTTTCGAGTTGCTCGCGAGGCGAGTCGAGCTGAGACTAGGGCTGTTCAACTACCCGAAAAAATCAAGCCAAGTCGAGTACTTGAAAAAACCGAGTAGCTTGAAAGATTCAAGCTACCCGAAAGAAACCAAGTAACTTGAATTTTTCAAGCTACCCGAATAGAACTGAGCGGTCCGAAAAAACCAAGCGGCCCGAAAGAACCGGGCAACTCGAATGGTTTCAAGCTTTTCCGAGTACACATGTTAGTTCGCAGCCGGACAATAATTTTTATCGGATCTTAAGGACGTAGACGTACAAACTAGACCCAAAGAAGGTCGACCATCATTTTCCGTATGTCTTATCGGATCTTAACGGATATATTACCAATCGATTCCTTATGTTATCCCGATGAAAATGGTACCAGACACAATAGAATTCGGATTATTTAGAAGGAAATTATACAGAAAAAATGATTTGCACGCTTTTTGTCGATATAATATCGATTAATTTTAATTATTAACAAGTCAGCGTAGAATTGGAAAAAGATTTTTCTGCTGTGTAACAGCGTGGTCTGTAGAATTTACATTACACGAATAATTAAAATTAATCGATATTATATCGTGTTTGGTACCATTTTCATCAGTATAACATCAGGAATTCAGTAGTGCAATTTATTTCTTTAACTTTTATAAAACACAACAAAAAGTGAACATATCATGACAAACATTTTAACTTTAATGCTCGGACCCTTTGAGGTCCGTCGTGGGTTAAAGTCGACACACGTACGCTTTGAATGGTTCAACCATTGGTTTTTGACTTTCAGTAATCACCCAATATCACTTCATATGCATCGTATTATTACGGGAGTAACGGCGATGGATTCTTTACGTTTTCCTGATGAAAACGCTACTAAACACTATGTAAATCGGACTATTTTTAACGAAGGTAGACAAAAAGCGTGCAAATCATTTTTTCCATATAATTTCCTTCTAAATAATCCGAATTGTATTGTGTCTGGTACCATTTTCATCGGGATAACATAAAGAATCGATTGGTAATACATCCGTTAAGATCCGATAAAAATTATTGCCCGGCTGCGGACTAACATGTGTACTCGGAAAAGCTTGAAACCATTCGAGTTGCCCGGTTCTTTCGGAACGCTTGGTTTTTTCGGACTCTTTTTTCAAGTTACTTGATTTTTTCAAGTACTCGACTCGGCTTGATTTTTACGGGTAGTTGAACAGCCCTAGTCTCAGCTCGACTCGCCTCGCGAGCAACTCGAAACATCCGAGTTTTCTGCAGGCCTAAACGATAAAGGTTGATTTTTATTATTGACTGTATTACTTTGTGAGGTGAATACAATAGATTGATTAAATTGCAAAAATAATTAACAATAGAGAAAAATGAAATTCGTAATTTTCTTCTTCCCAGTTGTAATACGACACGGACCGTCACGTTTCAGCAACGTGAATCCGCCTTCTCCGAGGCGCTCGCTTCGGTTCGAGCTACTCGGATCCTTCGAGCTGCTCGTTTCTTCCGAGTACTCGACTCGGACGGCTTTTCCGAGTACTCGAACAGCTCTATTATCGTTCACCTGTTATCATTTATTTGCGATAATGTTCTTCAAATCTTGGCGTTGTTCGCGTCGGTTATCTTCTTGAAGACATTCGCTTGAGACCACGAATCTATTAATCAAATTCATTTTTTTCAAATTGAATGTAACGTTTTCTAATTTTCATCCTTGATCTGGAATTTTTCATAAATCGTTTACTAATAATCCACTGTTTGATATATTCGAATCTCCCTTACATCATCAAACTTATCTGTCAGTAATTCGTTAGTAAAAATATTTACACATACAGTAGGTGTAGAATGTATTCGTACACCGATCAATTTCCTAAAAAACTTTTGTGTGAAATTGTAGTTTCTTAACTTCTTTTTTTATAATCAATGATATTTTACATATTCTCGGAAGTCTCTAAGATAGATATAGTCCAAACAACATTTACTAGTTAATATAATTTGTGAAAGTAACAAAATAATGCGAAAAGTGGGTAAAAGTATAGAAGCAATAAGTATTTGAACGATTCTTATGACGAAGTAGAAATTGTAATGTAAACACATTAGTTTAATGCTCCGTGCAAATTAGAAAATATTAAATTTCGAGTAAAGTACTTTTAAAAATGACTCTAATAGAGGAATGGAAAAAAAATCCCACTTCGAATAACTAATAATTTAGTTAATTTAATGCTTAGAAGAGTTGCAATAATTATAAAATCGAAAGGAAATCCCACGAAGAAAGTATTATATAGTTGTAAATTAATAAAGTTTTAAAAATTAAACAGTTGTGCAAATACTTTTTAGTAGTAGTATTAGTTTATTCCCATTGCGGGGTTTGTGCGAATTATTGCTTCAATATTTCTATCCATTAATTGTCTTTGTCTTGTTAATTTCGCAACTTACATAAATAGCTATTTTTTTGCAATCTATCTATTCTAGAGATTTCCGAGAATATGTAGAATGTCATTGTTTATAAAAAATAAGTTAATAAATTGCAATTTTACATAGTTTTTTTGGAAATTGATGGGTGTACGAATACTTTATTACACTCACTGTATGTTAGATATGGGTATAAAATAATTATATAAAGCTATGGTCCATTTATCTATTTATATAGATATATAAAAATAATCACAATAGGATGTAAACAAAATCTAAACGTTTTGTTTCGCAAATAAATTCGTGTTTACCGTTTCGTGTGATCGAATTGGTAAGTGCCTATTCGAACGACTTAAATCTTTATTTTCTAAAGTAATTAAAATACAGTCTTCTGTATTATTATTTTATTCTTAGCGAGTAAATAGTGTATTCGAGGAAACTATTCTACTGAAAAAATATTATTATGAGCTATTTCAGAAAATACTGTTCGTTATTTATTTCAAATAACATTTTACGCATCATTAATAACAAGTCACATTTAAGTAGGCACGTTTTGTTGACTATCCAATCGGTAACCGCCTAAAGGAGTTCTGAACCAATCAGAGCGCTCGGCCCGGCACTGTTGTGAACTTCCATAGTGCAGTTCAGTTTAGTCGCCGCTCGTCCTCCACGTTCGGAGGATGGTATGCGCCTCTACTCTTATAATGTAAAAGAAAATGCTTTTTCTAAGGAGACTAACGTACTTTTATTTTGAAGTGTTGTTTTTTAAGAAGACAGGCATTCTTTTGTGAATTCTGTGGAAAACCCATCAAACATATAGTTGAAAGTGAATCGCTATTTTAATATACTGTTTTTATAAATGTTTTTGTTCGTGACGTATATCAGTAATCGTGAATATTCGTAGTTTTTTTTTTTTTTTTTTTTTTTTTTGTTATACTTAAAGTATGGACTGTTCTTAACGCGTACGTTCGATTCGTAAACACGTCATTAACATTTTTCGTGAATTAATCATCGCAACGGAATTTTAAAACATTCACCATTATTTCAACAAAGTTAGGAATCACACGTCAGAACTTCCTTAATTAACATTTCGTTATAAATCGAGCTGTAGCGGCTATAATGCAGTTCATCGCGTTAATAAACTGGACTAATTTAATCGAAGATGGAATGGTTTATTAATGAGCTGTTAATTTTCTACGAAATTCTTTGCGAGGTAAAGATTTTTACTATAGTATATTTCCGGACACAGAAAAGAACATAGTACGTGTTCTGAATTTCAATTTCAGATGCGAATTTGAGAAAGTAAAGTAATTTGAAAATTTCGTGACATTTAGGTTAGATAAGAACGACTTTCGAAATGCAATTGTTTTTATTAATCATGAATTAACTCGATCGATTTTAATGTTTTTTACGTCAGTTAATTAAAGTTACTATATGGCGATATCTTCCATTCGAAATTTAGTTGACCGTTCTATTAATACGCATTAAAAATATAGATTTTAAATTATAGTCACGCGTACATAGGTTAAGTCAGTAAGTCAGTAGATTCTCATATAAAAGTTTTTAAATTCTACATGTGCATTGTCATGACATTTCTATTTATGACAATGCATTACTATCATACTTATTAATCTCAGTAATATTATGTTACGTTGAGATAATTCTTATTTCAATTTCGATTTTTGTAAGTGTTAGGTTAAGTCAAGATATTTTAATTTTCATTTAACTTAAATAGCCTATTGTACTTTGCGATTATAGTAACTCTCATTGGTTTTTTAGAAAATTTTACAATATGTATTGTTACATAAGTTCATAAAACCTTATCTTTGTAAATGAGTCATTGATAACAAATTGCTAAAACTAGAATATTCTTTTTGTTCCGTTTCATCTTAATGCAATACAAACTATAAAGAATTATTAGGCTTCAATTTTGAATCTATATAAATCATAAACATAGTATCTTAGATCTATACAGAAACACTTAACTTGAGAAATTGAATTATAACTGTGAATTACAAATCGAGTACAAAAACCATTGCAGTTTAAAGATAGGAAATTTACATATGCAAGTAGTTTAGTAGTAAAAAATATATATTAATGATAATATTAAATATGTTACTTACATCGGACTATCATAATAATGTGACATTCTTGTTTAATAAATTTTTACATTATATATGTAACTTCTTACTTTTTCTTATAATTCAAACAGACTAGTAACTTTTAATTGAATACATTGGATTTCTTGTTTCTGAATAAGTATAGCAATTATGTAATTTAATTGGGTAGTTTACGGTTATACAAGTCATTTTCATGATTCTAGAACATTAATAAAATATGATGCATTCTAATTGGAATCGATGGCATTTATACACTGAAGATGTAAAAGTTTATCTACATAGAGTAAAGTTAAAAAGTATCAATCAAGACAATTGATTAAAATAATTATTACTTAAATTCCATAATTGGTTTCTCTATGAAATTACATAATAATTGCTGAATGACTAGTTAAATTGCTTTTGTTAAAGAACCTGTGTAATTCTTTGAATGCATTTCCTCTTTTGTGATCCAACGTTGTCTCATAGTAGTAATTTATAATTTAAAATGTGTGTGAGAGAAAATGCAAGATATAATGACTTATTGTATTTGAAAGTTTATTAGAATTCTCACAAGTCATTTTATTTTTCCAATTTAATTGTTCAAATAATTAATCAATAACTATGGATATTCTACATTACACGCTTGATTTTCACTTGTGCTTACATATAAGGATATGTAATTGATGTCTCATAAAGGCATACAATGTTAAATTTACACGAACGTTTTGCCATTTATTGGAATGTTTGTGTTTCCAATGAAAGTATAAATTTTTGTACATTTCATCGTTTCATTCAATTTGATATTATATATTAAACAACAGCTTGGAACATAAATTGCTTTCTAAGTCGAATAACTATTTAATTAATGAGTTCTATTTTGAATTATGAGTTTTCGTTTAGAAAATTGTTGTTTTTAAAAAACATTGTGTTATATTACATATGTATATTTCCTTGAAAGTTTTGTTTTAAACCATATATAGAACTTATAACAACATGCTGTCAGAAAGAAATACGTGCGCGATAATAAGAGTAGCTATTTTATCGTTACCTGCGCGGTTCTTATCGATTCATCGATCGTATCTATCGGAAGTTTTAATCGATTGATTTATTATTGCACATTCCTTTTCATAAGAATTTGAATGTCTTTTTTAATTGTTATACCATTTTATGGTATTCTCAAGTTTCGATGAAAAATGTACATATGCTTTGTTGTACAAGACGAGAAACAAACAAAAAATATACATAATGTATGTCAGATATATTTTATTAACGAATAGAAGAATATTAATATTTCATTTTGAAGAAGTACATATACCTTTTGGTTTATTGAGAACCTTCTGCATATAGTATTTGGGTACTTTAAATGTCACTCTTCAAAATAGTATTATACTTAACCCATTTGCATCATTAGCGCATATATTTGCGCATTTTGTCTGGCCATTATCACCAGTTTTCCGTGTGATGCAAATGGGTGTAATAGTGTTATTACAAGGAAGTTCGGCAAAATATTAAAAATCATTAAATTTTTTATTTAAAATTTTGTTTATATCTCTAACGGTTTCAGAGATAGTAGCAAAAATATAAATAATTAGAATTACTTCAAAGGGGTATTTCCATCCGTAAAACCGTTTTTGGGCTAAAATGAAAAATGGCATTGTGGTTAGGTCCCCGTGAATTTTATTTTAACAAAAAGTTCAAATTTTTTGGCGTGTGACAATTACCAAACTTCCCTTGTTAGTACATTTAATTCAAAATATATATTCAAGCCTCACGAAATAACCGTTGCGATTAATTCCCGAAAAATTGTCTATCCGTTTAAAAATGTTTATCGTTTAACAGTGCAGAATAAAGTAATAACATAGTGAACGAGGGGGAGGGGGCAATACAGAAACAGAAACAAAAACAGTGGTTACGAAGGTTGTTTGCAGTGTCGCTACGAACAGAATGATAAAAGTTTGGACCGTCTGAAGATCGAAAAAGGTGATTATGGTGATATGAACAACGATCGCGGCTTGGAAAGATTATTGCGCAAACCAAACAAGAAGTCAGACGAAGCTTGGTGCGTGGGAACAGGGAAACGTGGAGAAGCAAACGGAGATCATTGTCCGAAAACGACTAACAACGTTCAAAATGTTTTCCACAAACCGACGAAAAAATATTGCCCGGAAAACAACGAGGAAGGAGGCATTCTTCGATCGGAACATTCTCAGAGAACGGTCGAGAATTCCCAGGAGGATTCACGTTGGAGAACAATCAAACATTCTCCGGTTAACACCGTTTCAGGAACGAGCGAAAGTTTTTCGGGGATCGTCGCTGCTACTGGATCAGAAGCTTCTTCCTGGAAGGCGAACGAGGAGCTTTTTGAATACAATCTAGCTTGCGTATTGAAGAAAACTTTGTCGAAAACTTGTCGATTTAACCGTTTAGTGGAAGTTTGCAATAAAACGTCGGGGACAATGAATGAAAATTCATTACAAGTTCCCAAGGAACAGCCCCGCGAGGTCGACGAAGAAAATTGCCCAGGGAGCAGCGAGTTAGACGTTTCCTGGAGGTCGAGTACCGATGAAAGTGAAAATCCATCCACTTCCTGGAGATTAGGAACGAGTTCCCCGCGAACACCAACGTTTACGAGTTTGGCTTTGGACGTTTCCTACGCTGGCCTAGACTCTTCCAGTCATTTGAATGTTGAATCCTCAAGAAAGGCCCAGGCACAAGATTCGTCGTATTTTTGGGACGATTTCAGTGTCACGGAGTGTCTGGACAAAAAACTGACATCGAACGATGAAAGTACGCCGGAGGAGAGGGTGAAAACTCTGAAGGAAGTTCTAGCCGAAACGAATATTCACGAGGGGGATGGAGTCGTTTCAGATTTTCTATTTCACGTCGCCAAGACGAAACACGGCAAGATTTATATCAGGGTTATTAGAACGATGCTTCGTAATCGAGGTAGGATATAAATAATGCAGAGTATCGATTGTTTTGACTTTTGCTCTTATGAAACGCGGTAAAAATAATTCGGACGTAGGAGTGGCCCGCGGAATGGGAAAACAAATGAGAAGGTAAAGAAAATCGGGGACAAATTGGGAAATATTATATCAAATCATTTGCATCGTAAATTAATATCGAATTGGCGCGCTTATAAATAATGTTTCAACAATATTTAGTAGTAATATTTAACTTATGCAAATTCTGTGAAATATTTACAAATTTTTCTATACCACTATATAGGATGTTTCAGAAATGAACTTTTCTGGTTGCGTTTACTTATAAAGAATATGAATGTTGAACTGGTCGTGATGGTACGCTAAGATAGTCACTGTCAGATTAAACACCTCTTTTTTATGGGGTTTTATTAACATTAAAATTACGAAGAAGGCCAATTTAACCCATGTACTTCGAATTCTTTCTAAAGTCAATCAATTATGCTTTACTATTAATGGTACTTTATGATTTACTTTTAACAATGCCTTTACTGCAGTTTTTAAAAATAATTATTTTAACAGAGAATTAATTTGATTAAAAAATTAGTTCGCTCCTTCCTTATCTAATTCCAAAGATATACAATAGTTGTATGTATAATATGCGTTAACCTCGATAATTTTAGTGTTGGTGTATTCTAAAAACAGCAGAAGTATCACAGGGTCATAAGTAAACACTTTAATCACATTTCTCTTTGAGAAATTGAAAAATACAAATTACATTTAGTTCAAAATCACGATAGGTATGCATATGTATAGTGAGGAGCAAAACAACCAATCATAGCAATTTTTACGTAAAATATTTATTATTATTGAAATAAATCATGACAAGAAAACCAGCATTGATTATTATTTCTTTATAGGCTTAGAGAACTTACACTATTTTATAACAGTTAAAATTTGATCTCTTTTAACTGAAATAATAAAAATTCAAAGAATCAGTTTTGTATCGTAACGAAAATAAACAAGTCTCAGAAGCCTAGCATACACAGGCAAAATGTTTTGATACGTAATTGTCTGTTTACATCGAGTGTCCTCTCGTACTGATAAACTCAGTTTACAAGTGTTATTCGAACTGTGAAGGAAGTATTAGTGGAGTATTAGGAAGTATTCATTATTACAATGAATCCCGTTCTCGTATAATATAGAAAAAAAAATTTTCCATTCTACTAGATGAGTCTTGAACGTGTAGTTCTATGATTACATATAAAAACTTTTAATGCTGTGTTAGCTTTAATGGGAGGACGTCCAAGAGCTCTAAAATATCAAGATGAATGAAGAATTATTCGTTATATTACAAGTCGTGAGGCAGAATCGGCAACTATGGCTGTCAAATAAAAATTGGTAAGTGGACAGTTAGAAGAACACTTAAGGAGGGGTACTACATGTTGTGTTTTCTATGTACAGCCTCGTACTCACGAGAGCATTTTTCGATGCACGGACGTTCATGCGCGTGAAATTCTTTCCAAACCTCGTCCACACGGAGCATTTTTCGACGCACAGATACTGCAGTCAGCAGCAGTCAGTTCGTACTGTTTATGCGTTCTCGCACATCCTAAGCCCGCATGAACGCTATTCGTCTGCTGTCGATCTCCATCAAAAGGATGGTCGTGCGCCAGATATTTGAAAGGGTCCCTATTTGAAATTAAGAGGATCCTTTTTTCGTACGCAACTCACGTCAGAAAGAGACAACACTGGCTATCGCGACGTCTCTTCCTGATGGCATTCTGATTTCGGCTGGCTCACGACGGTTTGCACAAACAGCCCGAGTTCGAAAATTATATGGAAAAGTATAATGGTATAAATGCTAATAATTTGTCATTTAAATTCACAAAATCAGATCTATGAATAGATCTGCGATTGTCGCCTATTTTCGTTACAGTGACTTATACGTTTAAATATTTATCTCTCAAACTATTCGTCGAATTCTCTGACTTTCTTTTTTATTTTACACAGGAAAGATCAGACTGACAATGAATATATTTTTATTGGATTGAAAACTGATTTAGTGAAACGTACAGTAAGGTCGTAATTAAATATTGATGTAGCCGGTATGTCCCGTAGAAGTAATCACGTAACAACTAAACTGATAGAAACTCTTCTACAAATATCCAGGATATACCATTTAAGCTGAGATTATAAAAAATCTCGAAGACATATGATTTAAAAAAGAAAAAGCTAATACATGTCCTTTAGTATTTCGAGTGGGGAGTCAGAGTCCCAATACTAGTTTCTTAAAGCGTGGACGTTTTCAATGTTATTTTACGGACGTTTTGTCTTTTTTTTTTTATCATAAATGCATATTTTTTATTTCGGAATTATATTCTACGTAAAAAGATGCTCTACTTTTGTATAATTTCTAACATGAAATTTTGTATAATTTTCTAACATGAGACATGTCTTTGAGATTTTGTACAGTTTTAACTAAAATGGGACAGCCAGTATACGGAAGCATTGATATATTTAAATTACAGGTAGGAAAACTACCGGTAAAAAAAACTGATATCAGTGGGTACCTGACTTTGCATTGGAAAAATCTAAGGAACCGGGCTCTTTTCTGCGCTCCTTTATGACAGAGCGTTTATGATATTGCAATGAAATTCGCCTCTTCCACGCACTATTGTAAAGAAATAGCCTACTATTCGTTGAAATCAGTTCAAGAAATCATTTTATTTTATTTCAGTTTAGTATTTTAGAAAGCATTTCTCATTCGTTACCATATTTTCAATAATTTAGTCGTAAATGTAATAAAAAAATAATTTTTGTTACTTATTTTGTTTGCACAAGGCCTCAGATATATGCACTAATTGTAATAAATAAGAAAAAGTTGCGATAAATACATATATGACTTCAATCAGAAATTGTTTTTTACCGGCGCGGGCGCGCCGTACGCCGTATGACCATCCTTTGAGCATGGACCGACAGCAGACGGAACGCGTTCGTGCCCGGACAGGGTACCCAATGCATTAAAGGCAAATATAAATACCAATTATTTATCCCTATAATATATGCGTAATAATCAATTTAGTACTGTCAGTGATTTCAATCTAAAACTAATAAACAAAAATAACAAGAATCACATGACTTGATTGATGTCAGAAATCATGTGAAAATCTTCTTTTTTTCTTTTGCCATTTCTAACTATCCAAAAATTATAAAATTCACATCAATAGATTCGGAAGAAGTTAAATTTAAAAAATAAAAAAATATGCGATTTTTTTTTTTTTTTTTTTTTTTTTTCGAAAAATGTGGAGTGCTCCCCTTAAGAAAGTTAATTTTAATGCTTGCGAAAAGAAAGCGAAGCCGATGCTGTCAAAAACAATATTAAAGCTCCAATTATTTGGTTAAAAAATATAAAAAATGGTCTGTTTCTGATTGGAAACGTGTAACTTGATCGGACGAAACAAAAATTAAGAGAGTATCGTTCGTGCAATGTCATAGTAAGCAAACTTTAACTCATGTTATGGGGGTGCATGACGACAGATGGTGTAGGTCCATTTCACAAAATCGATGGAATTATGAATCAATGTATGTATAAAGACATTTGGAAGGAACACTTGCCAAAATGTATGCGAATTATGCCGTTCGCTGAAGAGAAAATCGTTTTTCAACATGATCGGGATCCTAAACATACAGCAAAAAGTATGACAAGTTGGCTGGCTACTCAAGTATTTTCTATTTTAGACTGGCCCGCCCAAAGCTCTAATCTGAATCGTATAGAAAATCTACGGGGATTATTGAAAAAAAGACTTCAAAATGCGTATAATTCCCCACCAATTTTACTCCTCGAATTACATGCTCGTGTTAAAGAACAATGGAATTACATTCCGCAGTACTTTTTTTATAAGATTAGTTGGAAGTATGTCAAGACGCATTATAGCTGTTATAAAAGCCAAAGGATTATGGTCAAAATATTAAGGTATAATAAAACTTGTAAATCTTAGTATGAACAATTAGGGTGCAAAACTGATTCTATTTATTTTTATTGTTTCAGCCAAAGGAAAACAAATCTTAAATGTTATAAAATAGAGTAAATTTCCTGGGACTATAAAAAAATAATTAGTAATGTTAGTTTTTTTTGTTACGATTTATTTCAATAAAATAAATATTTTTCGTAAAAAATGTTGTGATTAATTCAGTTTTGCTTCTCATTCAGTTACTTCGCTTGCACTCGATAAATTTGCAAATTCAATTTTCTTGAAAATTATATCTTATACAAAACAATTTTATTCTACACTTTCGATTGTTTTTTATTTTTTCATTAGGATTCACCGACTGCTAGATTGTATCACCACTGTTGGGATAGTCTTTACATTAACGGACTACTAACATTGTGCCCTTAGAAACCTATACAACAAGCTTGTTTATATTAACTGCATTCGACCCAAAGTCCAAGATAATGTTGACAGATATTAAATAACAAGTAATTTTCAAAAGAAGTCGTATTTGACGCGTGTGTTCTTAGTCTCATATGAAATTGTTTAATACCTTTCAAATCTCGATCAAGTATAGTTTGTAAGATTCCGTACTTGTATTTAGGCAAAACAGTTATTTATCAATTGGTTTCCCTAATGAAATAATTTTTCAACATCTATTTGTCATAAATACATCATTATTTATAATTTATGAATTATTTCATCACGAAAAATTATTTATAGTAACTTAAACTGCACCCAAAATAGTTTTGTTTAACAATTCCATGTAATATAATTAATAAGATATTACTGAATATTACTGAATATACTGTTACTAACTACCAAAAGATAATGATAATGTGGAATTTAAAAACAGTTTATTTCAATTAAAGTATACATAGAACTATTCCCAAGGTGTTCTTACGGATAAATTTTTTTCTTATTCGGATATTCATACGATTACTAACGAGAGATAAAAAGCGCTATCGTTAATGATATGAATTAAGTATCGAATTCGTATAATAATGAAGCAGTGCATGTATCTAATTAAGAC